CTTCAAGATTTTATGGTTAATCCCTTAGAATGAGCAACATTTTAGGTCTTTGCAAGCAAATCATGGGATCTCAACAGATTTCTGGGCACTAAGTAATAGTAACCCTGTGATCAAAGCAGCTGGAAGACAGGAAAGAGATTAATCACTTTGCTAAGGCACATATCACCTTGGTACCGACATTAAAGCACAATAACAGAGCTTGATGATGAAGAAAATAATGAGAGATCAGAGTCTGATGTTAGGCCCAAGTATGAAAGTTTGCATTTAGAGAAAGTTGAAGCTTGGCGGTGGTTTCGCAGTACTGTCACTGCCAGTCATGAGGATTGCCAGTAGGATTGCGATGGTCCAGGCCTGTCCTGGAGTCTCCTGGAATTAAAGATTATGTCACTTGATGAAACCTCCAGGAATATGTCCAACCAAAATTGGCAATCCTAATTGCCAGTGGACAGCAAAGCTAAAAGGCCCTAGGTGAAGATGGGAAATATGTTAAAAATGTTTCGAATAATTAGAATTAAGAGGAAGAAGATATTATGTAAAAAGAAAGTGGTACCTCTTGCTTTTCCTGCTCTTATTGTTTATAATAGAGCATAGAAGCCCCAGCTAAGACCAGGGCCCCATTGTGCTGAACATTGTACAAACACCTGGAAAGAAGCAGTTCCTCCTCCAAACAGCTCACTATCTAAACAGACAGGAAAACAAGTGGGAGAAATGTAGCGCAACCTCCATTTTACAGATGAGGAACTGAGACAGAGAGCCCAAGTAACCCACTTGAGGTCACACAGGCCATCTGTGGCAGAGTTGGGAACCAAAGCCAGGCCTCCCAAGACCCAGTCAAGTGCCCTAACCACAAAGCCACCTTTCTTCTCCTTTGCAGGAGCCAGTGAAAAGGTCAACAAGCTTTGGAAAAGTACTTATGTCACAGTAACTAAGCTGGAGATGCACACATTTGTAATAAAGCCAGTTAAGCCTGCTGGTGCAAAATAAAACCCAGGAATTCACAGCCTCATATTCTCTGACCAATACTAAGGTTTTTCCTAGGAGAGAGCTTAATAATGCTCCCTCTCCTGCACTGCCAGAAATGAGGTAGGGTGGGATGACTGCTTTAAATTACTCTAGTTCTTCACAACCGGTTTCATCCTTGACTCTGAATTCCCTTTGAGAAGCGTTGTGACAGAGAAGTAGGGGACTTAGTGGGTTGGTAATGAGACACAGCCTTTCATGTCTAAATTAAAGTCATAGGAACAAAGCAAGCCCAGATCAGCAGTGGCTGAAAAGTATGACCATCTGACTGCTGATCACAGCCTATGTTAACGTGGTCTCAGGGCAGTTCCAAACAGACAGGTGTCCAAATCAGAATTGCGCTAACTAGCTGGCCAACTCAGAGAGGCCAAGGATTGGAGATGGAATCTAAGTCCTAGAGAATGCATTTTTGCAACAGCCCAGAGGCACAATTGTGGGGCAGGTGGAGAAGCTTGCTTGCCACAGTACCCGTTCCACTGGCCTGCCTACAATGCTGTCAGGCTGGCAATTTTCACCAGCAGGGAATTCACTTTAAATAAAAGGAATTAACAGGCTCCTTTCTTGAGCTCCCATGCCACAGCTGGGGTGTGCTCTGGCATAATCCCAATGCTGGTATACAGCAACAGCCCCTTTCTACACCACATCCAACCCTTCTCTTTTATCCAGAAAGGCAGGCGAGCAGCTGCACCAATGTGGATGCCAGTCATTAATTCTCTGGCAGGCAACCTTTGTACAAACAGGCTGGTGGGCTGCTGCTAAGAGCTATTGTTTGAGACCCACTGTGAGAGGATCTCAAGACTTGTCGTAAACTGCTTTGAACAGGGTTTTAACCTCCTAAACTTCCCCAGACATCCTGTTCATGCATTCAGCCCTTGGGAAGAGCGGAGGAAGGGATCTGAATGGCTGATGAGGACCGACACTTCAGGTGTGTATTTTATCATAATGGCAACGGTCAGAAAATATCAACACACCTCACATCTACAAACCTGGTTAGGTGTGCCACCTCTGACCAATAGGGTTGACCAAGGGATACGTTTGTCTAATTGTCTGTCTCTCTACTCCCATCACAACTCCCCACTATTTGTGTTTATCTAGTATAGTCACTGTAAATCCATGAAAATTACAATTTGGGTTCTAAAAAAAAGAAAAAAAAAGTGTTTTCTTCTCTATTTATTGCTGATCCAAATAGGATCTAATTAAATAAGCTTTCTTTGACTCACCAAAGGTGGAAGCACTATTTTAAATTTAAATACTAAAAAAAGATGCCCATTCCCAGCTCTAGACACTCTGACAATTAAGAGCCACAATTCATTTGACACAGTTTCTAAACAACGCAACACAAACATCTTAATAATGGACATGGATGCAGTGTTGAATTCACACAGGAAAATGATAAAAAGACACCATATCACCCGTGGGTGAACACTTTTCACAAAGCGATCGCTCTGTATCTGACCTGTCAGTCCTCATCCTCAAAGGAAACTTGACCAACAATTTCAAAAAAGACAAGCCTGGGAGCTAAAATTCATAACTTTGCTAGACACAAAAAATCATGAACTGAATAGAGAGATTAGATTTATTGCTTATTACAACAATCTATAACCCACCCCCACGACCCCCAGCTGCCTTTCCCCTCTCTGTCTAGAGGAACGTTAACAGACCACTTCACCTTTAATGGTCCCTTGAAATGTGTGTTAACTAGTTATGTTAATCAATCTGTTCCAACTTGTATTTAGCTGTGACACTCTGAGTACATTTCCCAAACCTGAAGAAAAGCTCTGTGTAAACTCAAAAGTCTCTCTCTCATCAACAAAAGTTGATCTAATAAAAGATATTACCTCATCCACCCTGTCTCTCTTAGTAATGGGCAGTCAGTCTGCTTACATCATTTAGGTAGGAAATGAAACAGGAAACTAACGACATCTTTCCAGGTCTAGCATGTTCAATCACCAATTTCCAATACTGGGGATGAGCTGAGGCAGCCAGGTTTTGATTTTCAGAAACCCTCAACATCTAAGTTATAGGGGCCCGGATGCATGTCAAAGGAGCTCTCTCTGTGTTGGTAAAGGAATTCACCTGCCTACCTCCCAATGCAGGATCAGGGCCTTGGTTTGGCAAAAGCAGAACCAGGCCTGGGTCTGACCTAGGTTCCATGTCATCTCAGCCTCCAAAGCTGCAGGAATGGGCTGGATAAGGTTTTCTTTTGCCTCATCTCTAATTATTAGGTGATAAATGCCCCTAACAGTGTATAGGAAAGAATAACCAATCAAAAGCCCGCCTGATGAGCAGCGAAAGCCCTTCTGGGTGTCTGAGTGCTCTGCAGCCTTCACCCCTTATCTAGACACATAAGTCAGAAAACAAGCACTCAACCTGGAAACATACAGCAGGGCAATATTCAAATCCCTGAAACATCAATAAATGCATTTCAATGGGGGGAAAAAGCACAAGAATGTAACTGAGAAATCAAATTCTGATTTACATACCATCCTGTTGCCCATTATCTGTAGGCCAGTCCCTTGACTAGCGTGAGTGGCCTAAACATGGACAAAAATAAGCTAAGCCTCCCCGTCACTTTTCTAAGTCATAGGTTTCAGAGTAACAGCCGTGTTAGTCTGTATTCGCAAAAAGAAAAGGAGTACTTGTGGCACCTTAGAGACTAACCAATTTATTTGAGCATAAGCTTTCGTGAGCTACAGCTCACTTCATCGGATGCATCATGAAAGCTTATGCTCAAATAAATTGGTTAGTCTCTAAGGTGCCACAAGTACTCCTTTTCTTTTTTCTAAATCATGGGTTTAATATCAGAGTCTAGTTGAGTCTCCAAGATGACTGGGATTAAAGAGCGTGCAGATCGTAGCTATCAGGTGATTGTGGACAAATCACTCGACCTCTTTCTGGCACTGTCAAGCTATCTGGGAGCCTGGGTTCAAATTAGGAACTCAGCTGAAAAGCAGATGTTGGACTGGATCTCAGCTTGTCTAGGTACAGCAATAGCCTATATACATGCACACAAAGCCATTTTGTACTAAGAAAGGTTACTGTCCCCAGTGCTTTTCCAGAACAGCATCTCTCCCTACTGCTTCTTGATCAGGATTCCACTGTGGAAGTGTTTACAATCTTCTACCCACACTTATAAGGGAGTCATAAGCCCTGGACAAGCCAAATGCATATAAAGGTACATGAAAATGTGCTCTGTATCATAAGAAATCACTTCAACCTCCAGCTGTTTCCTTCGTGCTGTATTTCAATTTCAGAAGAAAAACATTTTATAGCTTCATTTCTGACTATATTAAGTTAAAATTATTAAGAGGCTTCTGTTTCTACGTCTAGCTCTGCAAATTAAGTAGAGACTGCCCAAACAAAAATTCCATGTTCAAATTTCAAATCCAGATCCAGGTTCACAGGTTGATCCCATAGCTACATTGAGTCAATCCTGACAGGCAGGATTTTTTAGGTTTGGATCCTGATTTTGAACTCTAAATTCAGGAGTGTTCAGATCCAGGTTTTCAGCTTCGCTTATTATACAGATGCAATGTTTTGATCTGGGATTTTGGCTCTTATTAATTATTTGTACTGCACTAATGCCCAGAGGTTCCATTGTGGTGGATGCTGTACAACGTGATAAAAGTTTTAGGCTCTCCTCCCTGACCAGAAACACGGTTTCAGGGGATGCCTCTTAAATAGCAACCTTATAGTGATCATTATTAATATCTACATTATAGTAGCCCCTTTGCCCCTCCAAGACCCCAAACAATCATGGCCCTATTGGGCTAGGTGCTGTACAGACATACAAGAAGGCATTGATTCATCTGTATCCTTCTAAGTATGCTCTCTTTCATATCAGACGCACACACCTGCACACAGCATTACTGTATGTACTGCCAAAGATGCTCTCTGGAGGAGTTTAAAAATGGAACAACTGATTAATAACCCACACTGCGAAGAGATGCAAATGAGACTAAGAACAATCCCCACAATACCTTACTAATGGAGATTGGAGTCTGTGGAGTCTCATCCTTCAGCACTGACAGACTGTTTCCTTCCATGTCTTTTCCTGCAACAGAGCAGTATAAACAAGAAACTGAGAATTTCTGTGGAAAGTCATGGCTACTCCAAGCAATTACTCTAAAAAGACCACTGCTGACAGAGAGCAGGAGAAATTGTCATAGGCAATAGACAGAGCAGGCAGCTCCAGGAAGACTGCTGCTTTAAATAACCTAGTCCATATGCAAATTAACTTCTGAAAACACATTACAGATTTGCTGTAAGAGTTTCAGATAACAAAGAGCACTATTTAAAATGTTTGGTCTTTTCAATTGTTACTATTTAAAAACTGCATCCAAAAAAAACACTAAAATAAAAATAAAAATGAGTGTTACGGTTGCAAAGTCAAGCACGCAGAGTAAGACATGCCAGAATTAAGAGAGGCTGCCTGCACACTCTTAATTTGGACCCCTATTCATTATGATATGGTCTTTAACTACATGGTCACATACTATTTTTCCACTGGCCTTCTGCCTCATTTAGTGCACAAAATAACCCCCTGGTGACTTAATAAGAAGCTTTTCAATATTTTATTGTATCCTCCTTGCTCAATGCATGGCCCCATACCTAAATGTATTTGACAGTGTACATTCTTTTCAACAAACATTAACCTGAATTATAAAATCTTATAGAAAGAGAACTGTATCTAAATGTAATTAAATAAAATAATAAAAGATTACAGGTTTTCTGGCATCAACTATTAAGATCCCCTGACCAAGAGGTTATTGGATACAATAAGAAATATTAACAATAGTAGTTAGCATTTATGTAGGGCTTTATATTTTCAAAGCAGAGTACATATATTTCATACATGTTGAATATTTTAATGTTACAAAATATGTAATTCTATTCAGGACAATTCACTGTCATTATCTACACAAATTCTATATTTTTGGTAAATTGTAATAATGGCCTTACACTAAAGGAAAACTTATAACTGCTACTGAAAAATCCATTCTATTAGACTAGATTATTATTTGTCTTGACACTATTCTTTCCCAAGTCCAAAGTAACTTTGTTTCAAAATTATTAGTGGTTAGGGATTCACAATGCTTGATACAGTAAATAACCACTAAAACTGCTGGCCAAAAGACTCAGTGACAATGTATTAGCACCAGAGGTGTTCGTAGAGAAATTTCCAAACGCTACCGCAGTGTAGACAAGTCTCAGAGACACACACAAAAAAAAAAAAAACACAGGGGGAAATCCTGGTGTAGCACTACTGAAGGCAAATGAGAGTTTTGCCACTAACTTCAATGGGACCAGAATTTCACCGAGAGCGTTCAGTGCAGTGGACTGGAAGTCAGGACTTGAAGCTTGATTCTTGGCTCTGCCACAGATGTCCTGTGTGACTTTAGGGAAGTCTTATCACCTTTGTGCCTCAGTTCCTCCATCTGTAAAATGTGGATAGTACTGACGGGGTGCTGTGCATAGTTAATTCATGTTTAGGAATGCTCAGATATCATGGTGATGAAGAATCACAGAAACTGGACAAGTAGTCCTATATATCGTACCACTAGTACCATTCCCAGCTTGGGCCAATGAAACAAGTGAGATGTATTAAATAACTGTACAACTAAATCAAGTACAAACTTGGCATGTCAGTAAGAAGTCAAGTCTTAAAAATATATCTAACAGCCATTTAAGAAGCCAAATGCAACGAGAAAAGCAGGCAGGCAGAAACTTGTGGAGGAAATTAAGTTTCTTATGACATTTTTTCTGTTAAATTTTCAGTATAAAATGGGTGGGAGAACAATCTGTTTGATTGGCTGGCTGTATTCATAAACAAATAATCAGAGTTGTGACTATCAAGTCGATACGATTTCACTGGTCAGAATTGTTGAGGTTCTGTATAGAAAACTGACGATTACAGTCACTGATCAGCAATTCAGAGCCTTGTCACTTTAGTTAATAGTGTAAATGCTTCTCAGAATTATTTAATAATTGCAAAAATGCGCTCTGGACTCAGGATAATGCTGAACCGAATGCCTTCAGCTTCCAGCATCATGGTTACGTGCCTCTGTGATTTCAGACACAAGTCCCTACGCTCCTCCAGCTGTGCAGTGCAGAAGCATTGGCCTAAGAAAGCAAATGCCTCCAGAAAAAAGAGAGGATAGGGGAGGGGGATTTATCTCCATTTTATACATGGGAAACTGAGACACAGGGAGGTTAAGTGACTTACCCCAGGAAACTAGTGTCACAGCCAGGAACTGAACACAGATCTCAGACTACCAATATAATTCCTTAGCCATGAATTCATCCTTCCTCTTAACAATCCTCTTTTCCCTTCAGAATAGGAAGCCAGAATAGCCACTTCATTCTCTGATGGACCCAGCTGCCTTCGCGCTTCATTTGTCATGTGTACCACTTCCCTGTCCTATGCCTTTGAGTTCAATATGCTACCATGGAGCATACCACATCATGCATAATACCACAGATCACAAGAATGCACTAAATTCAAACATAGGCATCAGACAAGGCTGAAGTTGGGTCCTTATTCACAGTTCCTTAGTTGTGGTACTAGCGCCTTATTCATAGGTCCCAGCTCCTTATTCAAAGGCAGTGTCTTGCCGTGTCATATTTAGTCAGGCATGCAATTCTACACCTGCATGCAAAATGGCATCCTCCACACAGCATGACCTCACACATATGCTGCGTGCGAGGTCATGTTGTGTGGAGGATGCCATTTTGTCCATGTGATGGGAGGCTGGATAGAGCTGTTCTGAGGGCAAAGCTGGTCCTGGGGCATGCAATGCATGCCTTACATATATTGACTACACACCACTGAACAAAGGCCAAAGTTGTTTTAAAATAGAGCACTGCAAGATTAAGTTGTTAGAAATTAGTGATTGTGATAAAAATTTAAGTTACTAATTAATTATATATTAAATAATCACTTAAGGAGCTGGGTTTTGACTGGCTGTACATGACAAATTAGGTCTCAGGTCACCTCAAGTGACATCCCTGCAACCATCAGACTGTTCTAAAGGAGCTAGGACATACCATTTTCTGACCTTACAGGAGTGTTGATACTTGGGCCTACACATTTATCCTAATTGTAAACTCAATTGTAAAAAGTATAGGAAAGTTCACAACATGCTAACATTTGTTACTGCAGGTTAGTGTAACAGAAAATCAAGTTGGTTTCGATAACGAGTGTTATAAACAGGCATAAGAGAACCAGACGGAAAGATTAGAGGAGTCCAAACAAAAAGGTTATGTTGATATAATTCAAGGATTATGCTGAAATCATACTTGGGAAAAAGCAGACAATGTTGAACCAGAAATTAATGAACCAATTTTGGTTCGTCGGATACTAGGCCTAATTGGTAGACAAAATGAAGGGAATGAGTCATTCCATCTATCCTTCTCTCTGTGGGTCCTAAAAGAAAGATTTGGGGAAAAAAAGAGAGAACAGATGGAAGCTAGTAGAATGAGCTTCACCCTCATGGCTGCTACTGCTACTATTTCCTGGAACCCTGTGCCTTTGTCATCCTCTTGTAATAACGGACTGTTGACAATCTTAGCTCCAGCCCATCTCAACTAACTTCTCTTTTCCCCAAAAGGACAGTTATTGCCATCTTTGATACCATTTAAGACCGTGGTTCTCAACCAGGGGTACACAGAAGTCTTCCAGAGGGTACATCGACTCATCTAGATACTTGCCTAGTTTTACAACAGGCTAGTGAAGTAAGTACAAACTAAAATTTTATACAGACAACAACTTGTTTCTATTGCTCTATATATTAGACACTGAAATGTAAGTACTATATTTATATTCCAATTGATTTATTTTATAATTATATGGTAGTAATGAGAAAGTCCGCAATTTTTCAGTAATAGTGTGCTATGGCACTTGTGTGTTTTTATCTGTGATTTTGTAAGCAAGTATGTTTAGGGTACACAAGACAAATCAGACTCCTAAAAGGGGCACGGTAGTCTGGAAAAGTTGGGAGCCACTGATCTAAGAGACTGTCAAAGAAGGGCATTTTTCTTCTAAAATGGAAGGGCCTGGAAGTCCCCTCGTCCGACTTTATCTCCCAACACTTGTCCCTCATTCCCACCTACTCTTCCACACCAGTCACCTTCATAGAAAGCATGTGCTTGTGTAGGGTTTTTTTCTTTTTTGTTTTAAAAGTCATTTCAGAGCCTTCTGAATACTCTGCTGTATTTCCCAAAAATAATAATAATAAAAAAAACCCTTTGACAGAGGCAGATTGGGTGGGGATAGCGCTCGGATTAGAGGACCATAACATACCCTGGGAGCCACACAGTTCCTGTGACACAGAAGTTATTTTACAACTAGTTAGCCTCTCTCTGCACATGCACAGTGTAATCCACTGGGTGCATGAGCCTTCTCAGGCACCTAAGTTGAGAAGAAACTCTTTCAAACAACATTTTAATTTGATTTCCCCAAGGGGCTGGTGGGTGCCATGCACTCTTTTGAGGGTAACTCTTGAACACTGGAGATACTGGTGCAATGAGCTGAACCTTGGTTTGATCACTTTTTGCACATAAATAAACATTGCCAGAAGGGGTCAACTTTAAGAAAAGTGGTTGCGCTGCCCCTCCCCCCAACACCAGGCGTATTTTGGGAAACGTGTGGTCAAATGACCCCAAAGTCGAATCCCTAACAGAGCCCCATGACCAATTCAAGTAACCATGCAGACTTTAGAGCACTTAGAGTTGAGCTTTAAATAGAAAACAGGTCTTAACCTTAACAACAGAGCTATAGCTGTGCTACAATTAGATCCATAATTTAAGAGTACTCTTGGATTCCTTGCTGAGGCTAAGTTCTCACATAGCGGCAGCTACAAGTCATGCTTTCTCGCCATCTCCAGTTGGCTAGGAGACTCAATCCCATCTCCATGGGCAATGACCCGGCCTCAATTATTCATTCCTTTGTCACCTCTCAGCTGGATTATAGCCACATCATAAACTTGGGCACGAAGCCTTCAGCATTTGGGAAGCTCCAGCTAGTAAAAGAACACTGCAGGGCATCGCCTCAGC